TTGTGTTCTTGATCTCCGGAAATAGCCCTTCCAAAAGGATGAAAAATCCTGGAAAACGCAGAAATTTGCCTTCTTCAGACATCAGCAAACACACTCTCCTCGCTTGAGAAGGGCTGTAAAGGTGGACTGAAACGAACCCCTCACAGGACCTTAATCAGATGACAGCAGCAGCAACACCAACTAAATTCATTGCACCTTAATTTTTGTTGATGTTTGTTTTTATGGAGAGCCTGAGAGAGGATGGAAACTGACTCGGAAAGCCTTGAAAGTGGATCTGACTCCCCCCTGGGTTCATCCATGTATCAAAAGGTTTCTAACCAGAACATGCTGGGGTCCCCACAGGCTGCAGATCCTGCTGTTATTAAGGTGCAAGGGTGGAAACAAAGATGAGTCAAGAATTACAGAAAGAAGGGAAAACGGTTGTTTGAGCTGGAAGAAGCAAAATGTAAAGTGAAGGCGTTGGGCTTTTAATTCCTCTTAAGGAAATATAATTTGATGTCCAAATGATGGAACAGGCAGGAAGATGAGAGTAACCAATTATCACAGCAAGCTGACGGGGTGCCTAACGTTTCCACAGTACTTGTTGCTTGAATGACGTTATCAGCAGATGGACTTTAGAGAGTCAGATTGAATGTGCCGCTACGAGGTAGATCCTAGTTCATAAAAAAAACAAAAAAAAAACACAGGTCAACAAGAAGAAAACTTGCCAAGTAATCATCCGAATACCCTAAAACGGCCTGTTCTCTTAAAATAAACAGATTTTCGTTTTGTAAAAAAAAAAAAAATGATGTGAAAATTGTGGTTTACAAAGAGAATCTTTCTCCCTTTTTGGATGTAAATTTCAAGAATGTAAAGATGTGTAAATCAGATGAAAACACAGACTTATATACTGTGTATATATGTTTATATACAGTTCACTTTATCGCTATCTACAGGGGCTCTTTATTGGCGAGAGCCGTCGTCTTCACTCTCAGTTTGTGACTAAGTGCATGTGTTATCGGCCTCTTTTATGACAGTCTTTATAAACACGCTCAGCTATATACAACGTCGTTTTCTTTTTTAATAAGGTGAAAAATGATACGGTGAGATGTAATAACCATCCCACTATGTCCTCCTCTGTTGGCTTGTCATCCAAAATAAGGAAGGGAACAGCCATCGCTCTCCTTCTTGGTTTGCTGATTCAGCTGATCTGACAGCTTATTGCCAATAAATCCAACCTTTTAAGAGAATGAACCCGACTCATGGGAGTTCTGCTGGCTTTGTTAGCGTCGCCATGTTTCCTCTGTGGCACTTTAAGCTGAATCTAGCTACATTATTTTAACCAGAGGGTGGAGTTCTGCAAAAAAATAAAAAATCCTGCTGGAAGCAAAACAGCCTTTGTTTTAAATTTTATTTTCCACCTGGTTAAGTTTGGTAATGGTTTTGAAACTCCTGTGATGTGGATGGCAAATCAGTACTGCAATATATTCCACTTCTTTTTGCCTTCTTGTTTTTGATCTTTCACATTGATGGCATTTTCTGCAACAGCGACATGAAGTGCACTTTTTGTGATGGTGGATTCAGAGGGCGTTCGGCTTTGGTTGAAAGTGCTCTGTTTTTTTTTTCTATAATTCTTTTGTCTTTAATGATTCGATTGTAAAACATATTGCAAAGCTTTCTTTTTTTTTTCTTCTTTTTTCGTTTCATTTTCTGAGAGCCATTATTGTCTGTGTCAGACTGAGAATTGGGCTGTGTCTGGGGGGTGGGGAGTGAACATTGGCATGCCAAGAAGCCCAAAACATGAGGTGACAGCTATTTTCTCTCTTGTACCTTGATCAAGGGTGCTGTCACCTGTTTCCAAGACAAAACTTTGAAGTCATTCATTGTTTCAAATAAATTACTATATTTTGATATTTGAAAATGTGTCTGTGTTCTGATTTTTTTTCTTTTGCATGTTATAAAACACATATATGTCACTATTGGTGCTTTATCTAGAAGAATTTAAATTGTTTTCATTAGATTAGACATGTAGAGATAGATGGATGGAAAAAGTCCTTTTCTGAATGTCTGTATAGAGCAGTCATTAGTGTATGAATTAAATTTTATTTTAAAAATTCAGAAATATTTAATATAATTCACCATTGGTTCATAATGTAAATATTGATTTTTACTAGGTGAAATCGCTTTAAGTAAATCTTTTTTACTCATTTGTATTCAAAAGAATCCTTTTAATTTCAATGTGACATTAGCTTTAGTCACAAAAAAAAGTCATAGATCAACAGTTTTGGTCCTCTTAGTGTAAAGGCCAATAGGTTTCCTACAAGAAGGAGACATTGGAGACATTAGATTTTAGTTTTATACAGGTGCTGGTCATAAAATTAGAATATCATGAAAAAGTAGATTGATTTCAGTAATTCCATTTAAAAAGTGAAACTTGTATATTATATTCATACATTACATACAAACTCATATATTTCAGATGTTTATTTTGTTTAATTTTGATGATTACAAATGACAACAAATGAAAATCTCAAATTCATCATATCAGAAAATTAGAATATTGTGAAAAGGTTCAAAATTGATGGCCCCTGGTGCCACACTCTAATCAGCTAATTAACTCAAACCACCTGCAAAAGCCTTTAAATGGTCTTTCAGTCTAGTTCTATAGGCTACACAATCATGGGGAAGACTGCTGACTTGACAGTTGTCCAAAAGACGACCATCGACACCTTGCACAAGGAGGGCAAGACACAAAAGGTCATCGCTAAAGAGGCTGGCTGTTCACAGAGCTCAGTGTCCAAGCACATTAATAGAGAGGCGAAGGGAAGGAAAAGATGTGGTCGAAAAAAGTGTACAAGCAAGAGAGATAACCGCACCCTGGAGAGGATTGTGAAACAAAACCCATTCAAAAATGTGGGGGAGATTCACAAAGAGTGGACTGCAGCTGGAGTGAGTGCTTCAAGAACCACCACACACAGACGTATGAAAGACATGGGTTTCTGCTGTCGCATTCCTTGTGTCAAGCCACTCTTGAACCACAGACAGCGTCAGAAGCGTCTAAAGAGAAACAGGACTGGACTGCTGGTGAGTGGTCCAAAGTCATGTTCTCTGATGAAAGTAAATTTTGCATTTCCTTTGGAAATCAAGGTCCCAGAGTCTGGAGGAAAAGAAGAGAGGCACTTCATCCACGTTGCTTGAAGTCCAGTGTAAAGTTTCCACAGTCAGTGATGGTTTGGGGTGCCATGTCATCTGCTGGTGTTGGTCCATTGTGTTTTCTGAGGTCCAGGGTCAACGCAGCCACATACCAGGAAGTTTTAGAGCACTTCATGCTTCCTGCAGCTGACCAACTTTTTGGAGATGCAGATTTCATTTTCCAACAGGACTTGGCACCTGCACACAGTGCCAAAGCTACCAGTACCTGGTTGAAGGACCATGGTATCCCTGTTCTTAATTGGCCAGCAAACTCTCCTGACCTTAACCCCATAGAAAATCTATGGGGTATTGTGAAGAAGAAGATGCAATACACCAGACCCAACAATTCAGAAGAGCTAAAAGCCACTATTAGAGCAACCTGGGCTATCATAACACCTGAGCAGTGCCACAGACTGATCGACTCCAATCCACGCCGCATTGCTGCAGTAATACAGGCCAAAGGAGGCCCAACTAAATACTGAGTGCTGTACATGCTCATACTTTTCATGTTCATACTTTTCAGTTGGCCAACATTTCTATAAATCCTTTGTTTTTATTGGTCTTCAGTAATATTCTAATTTTCTGATATGATGAATTTGAGATTTTCATTTGTTGTCATTTGTAATCATCAAAATTAAACAAAATAAACATCTGAAATATATGAGTTTGTATGTAATGTATGAATATAATATACAAGTTTCACTTTTTAAATGGAATTACTGAAATCAATCTACTTTTTCATGATATTCTAATTTTATGACCAGCACCTGTACTTGGGCTGCCATAAACAAAGTGTGGCAAGGACTTTTAATCTTTTAGAACGGGTCTGCAACCTTTCATATCCAAAGAGCCGTTTTGCACAGAGTCCGACCAAGTTTTTTTTTGGCTCATATAGGAAATTAGTTGCCATCTTAAACAATCAACAAAAATAAAAATATTAAACAATTTCCAAGCTAATTAAAAGAAAAATGTCTGTCTTGTTCTTTTATTCTCCATTTTTCTGTCTTATAAAAAACACTAGCACTTTTAATACTGGTATTTATTATAGTACATCATTTAGCTCTTTATATACATTTTAGCCTCTATTAGGAGCTGCTGGGTCCAAAAGAGCCACAGGTCGCTGACCCCTGGTTTAGAAGAACATGGGTGCAGAAATCAGGCTCCTGGGTTGATAAGCTTGGTACTCCCTAAACCAGGGGTCTTCAACGTTTTCCAGGCCAAGGACCCTCAAACTGATGGTGAGATGGAGCAGGGACCCCCTTATTTTATATTTATCCATGAAATAGTGTTAGATCAAACTGGTCCTATAGTCCCTCTATTACAGATGGAGTCATGTAACGAAAGTAATTTTGCTCTGGGATTATTAAAGTATTTCTGATTCTGATTCCACGTTGATGGGACAGGTGTTGTGAATAAACGGTGCCCAGCTTGAAAGAGCTACTGTGTGTCGCTGAATGTGTGCATTGATGACTGAAAGACATCTTCTGACTCCATTTATCTGTTTACTACAGTTTGTTGAATTCATGTTAATGTATATTTAAAGACATTTCAATTAGTGGAAAAAATTGCAGAGGCGATATAAAAAAAAGTCTAATTAACCAAAGCTTTCATGACCCCCATGCAGTACCTCCTTGGACCCCCTAGGGGTCGCGGACCCTCTGTTGAAGACCTCTGCCCTAAACAGTTCAGTGGGCTATCACAGGGATCTATGGAAGCATGAACATCAAAACTTGTCATTTAAACTGGGGGGACCTCCACACATCCCAACACCTGTACCGGAAATGAAAACCAGCCTGCTTCTGATTGATCTCCAAGCTGGCTAACACCAGATAATATCTCCGGTAATCGAGTCATCCTGAGAGATGGCCGGAGAGTCATAGATCTCTGTAGTTCTGGTTTAGTTTGTCTCATTCTCCCCTTATGTGTCTATCTTAAACAAGCTGTTCCAACTCAGAACTTCCTGTAAGGCTGACATTTATAACATTTATTCCTTTATCAAAGAAATTCCCCCATTTCTGCAGTACTTTGTAAATAAGTACAGATTTCATTTTTGTTTGCATGTTTTACTTAAACGTAAGAAGATCTTTAGCAGATTATCAACATATTTCTTGATTACATTATTAGAATGTGTAATTAATTCTTTATTTGAAAAAAAAAAAAACTTTGTTTCCTGAGAAATATGCAGGAATCTTAATAGTTATGTGATAGAGATTGCTCATTGAAAAGATCACCAAATAATCCCTCAGATTAATGTAGAAACATTGAGACTGATTTAGACATGTATACACAAACTAAATATTCAGCTCTGCTACAAAATTCTGTTGTAAAACCAAAGATATTTAATGCGACATCAGATAGATCTGTGCTAAAATACCTTAATAGATAGTTTGAGATAAAAACACCTTGGTAAAAAAAAAAACACTAAGAGAAATTGTAGTGTATTATTAGCTTATGGATGGCATCAACATTACAAGATCAGGGCACTAAATTGAAAGAATTTTCCAGTGGAAACATAAATGTCAGTTTATAAATAGATTTTAAAAACTAAACTTGTTTTGCAAGCTTTTTAGCTATGAGAGGAAAAATCACAGGAGCTGTTCAGTAAAAACTGAACTATAATCCAGAAGATTTAGCACGTTCAGATGACGGTAGAGGTCTTATAAAAGAGAATAGGACTTATTGTCACCATCATAACACTTTAGATAATCAAGATCTAACTATTAAAAACCAGTAGGATGTAAAAGGGGAGAGAGTTGGAGTGTTGATGAGGCCAGCTAGTGTCGCACAGAGTTCTCCAAGGACTCTCCGTCAGCATCTACGTCCCCATGTAGCTCGCTGGAAATGTGGATTTCAACTGTACTAGACTCTGAACCTAGCAAGACAAAACAGGGGTACATTACTTGTTGTTGCTGCACACAGAATGTTTAACTGAATTTGTTACATATTACTAATAGGTTATGAGAATGTTAAATTGACATAAAATGTAGTTATTATAGAAAAAAGTCACTTTAGATTCACAAATTCGTTTTGACTTTTCTGCAATCAATGAAAGAAAAATAAATTTTGTGAATAAATGAGAACCAAAAGTCCTTCAGAAGAATAACTTTATTTTAAAATCTTTGTCAGAGGCACCAAAAACTACACACAGAGCACACAGAATTGAAGTGTTGAAATAAAAATATTTTTTTTGGCAGTAAATGCACACTTCCATACACTATAGTGTAAGTTCACAAGGTACATTTAGCTATAACTGATGTGGTCTAATACAACAAATATGCCCAAGAGTTGTAGATACATTCAATCTAATCTTGGAGAAAAAAAAAATGTAAAAAGATATGCTTTTAAGCCTTCATACCGTTTTGGCATGAACAGTACTCAGATCCATATAAAATCCTTTTTATATCTTGTTTTTTTTACATCAGTTAAAATCCTGATATGGGAGCAGCTTTGTTATATTAGACCGCATTAGTTACAGATATGGGATATTTTTTTTCTCTTAATGTGCAATCCTTCTCATAGCTCTTAGCTAATCATCTGATTATCTGTAAATAATGATGCCTAAAAACCCTGAATGGAAAATCACAAAGGAGGCGATAACATTACACAATAAAGAAACATGTCTTTTAGATTTTGATTTCCATACAAATACTCTGGTAATGTTTCTTCCACTTCAGATCATTATTTACAGACAATCCATAAATCTCCATGAGTTGCTGCAGCTGCATATTCAATCAAAATAAAAAAGAAGATGTTACACAACAGGAGCTGACACCAACACAGATGTAAAAAAAACAAAGTTTAAAATGAATTTAAGTTGTTTTTTTGTTTTTCCTCAAATCAAATTGCTTAAGTTATTTTTTAACAAATGTTTTTGTTAAAGCAAACAGACTTCATGAACATCTATTCATGAACATCACCAGCCCTGATATACTGGTGAGCTGCTTGCTCCACTGGCAAACCAGTTACCTTCAGAGAGGACGCTGATGGCATCAGAGTGCTGCTGTCCGTTTCCCACTGTGTTCTTCTGGACTTCCTGAACGTGACTCTGGTAAAGCAGAGTCGATCCGAATACTGGATTTTGTCCAGGTGTGTTAGGCACGGAGGTAGAGCCCGAGTCCCATGCCAGCTCTCTGTTCTGCTGTGGGTTAAGGTCCACGTCCAGCCCTGTCCAGCCATGAAAGGCCAGAGTGTTAAGGAATGCCGTCATCGGGTTCAGAATGCCCTGAAAGAGTCAGATGCATCATGAATAGAAGCATTTTTCAGGTTTCAAAAAAGATGATCTATCTGCTTCTATCATTTCTGTTAAACCAACCATGATAAACCATGTAGTGAGTGCTGCATTTCTGATATCTCTAAGGCTGCTGTCGCTGATGTCCGGCTGCATCTCTAGGTAGAAGAGGAGGCACTCATTGATGATATTTGGAGCCCAGCTAAGATAAAAAAAAAAAAAAAAACAGTCTTACAAAGCAGCAGCATTAAAGCAATCAGTACAAATGAACGAACAATGATTAAAGAACATTTTTAATTAATCATGAAATGACTCTCCTTATATTTTTAATGCTGAACAAACAACACTATTTACCATCCAAAAAGAACATTAAATAAAAGAGGTAAAACTGCTAAGTTTGTCTCAGAAGTCAGAACACAGACCTGGGCAAGAGCTTTTAGTCACAATTAGGCTAATAAACAGATGACACCCAGGCTGATAGTATGTTTAGTCCCTGTATATACATTGAAACCCTAAACTTTAAAAAGTAGGACTGTACAGTGCAACTTGTGCTATTAGTTTAATATGATGCAGACTGTCAAAAGGAACAAATAAACAACTGAGTCCTTTTATTTGAACTATTTTTAGCAGACACTGCAAATCCTTTAAAAACTGAGGATCGCTTCGCTGACTTTCCAAATTAGATTTCAGAAGGCATTTCTAACAAGAGATTTTAGAGATCTTTGTCATCTCCTGTTACAAAATGATATAACTTGACTGAGGAGAGAACTAGCTGCCAAGGAAAATACTTCAAGATAAGTTCAACTTGTTTGGGGATAAAATAAAATGACATCACTAAAGTAAAAGTAAAAATTAATGTGCAGTAAAACTAGACCTACAAGTTTACTATTTTAAAAAACATAAGTAAATATATAAGGGGGGATTTGTTGTAATCTGATGCTATAAAAGAATAATATAAAGAATAATCTGAGTTAAGTTGAACAAATATAAGACTTCGAAATACTTTCCTTAAAACATATGGAAGTGAAGATGAGTGTAGCTGTTGGGTGGATAACTTACCAAACAAAGAAAACAAGCATTATTTTAAAGAAGCGAATTTTGATGTCGTTAGCCAGCCTTCTCTCATTTTCTGTATAAATTCCTTGTCGTCCTTTTAATAAAGATGTCACTGTGGAAAGGTAAGAAGTTTACTTTTAATTTCTTCTTGGACAGATATATGTGATGCACTTTAATTTTTCAGAGGCTGCAATTATAGAAATGAACTGACCTGCGGAGACAGTCCGGCTAAAGAACACAGGGTTGGCTACGAGGACGAGGAGCATAGGGGCGTAGGTGGTGATGTAGTGTGGAATAGCATGCTGGAGGCCTTGTTCACAGCTGGGAAGAGAGAAAGATGATCAATAATACTCAGCTTTCAGAACTTGCATTCCATCTGACATATTTTTAGCTGATATTTGCCTCCGAAATAATAAACATCTTAATATTGTTAAAAGTAAAACAGAAAAAGAAAATAAACTGGGAAAAAAAACAAAATAAAGAATAAGTGCATTTGAAGGAGAAGTAAAAAAAAAAAAAAAAAAGATGTCAAATGGAAAACAAATGCAATGGGCTGTGGAAACATTAAGGATATGGATCTACCGGTAACTGGAGGCTATTTTAATATAAAAGCACCTTCAGCTACTTTCAAAAGGGTCATGATAACAATGCAGCAAATAGACAGAGGAAGCTGACTCCAAAGTTATGGTTTAACTGACTGGAAAGATTGATGCCTTCGAGTTATAATGTGAGCTGAGGGACAACCTCTGGCCTGAGAGGGAAATTAATTTAACACTAGGTCTGTTATATATCTGAGGGATTATATATGTAAGCCTCTAAAAGTAGAATTCCTAAACTTAACTAGACTGGACTAGAGTGAGCCCAAACAGGAGAATTGATTTGTCAAAACAGGGAAAAGGGCCATCACTGTTATAAACTTGAGTTAAAACCAACATAAAGGTCAAATAATCATCTCAGGTTTCCCTCAGAAACCAGCGATCCGACCCCATTTATTTTCGTAAATGATGAGAACATTTCCTGAGATGCGTAAAGATTTTTTTTTATGTGCTGTTATTGGGGGAAATAATCAAGGTATCCTCAACACCACAACACTTATGTTTTAATCAAGCCCCTTTAAGATTTAGATTAATAAAATAAAATAAAAATATGTTAAATAAAGAATCCATTCAAGAAAAATCCTGAGTGCCAAGTAGAAAGCAACTGAACTTCCTTTCCTTTCTTGGATATGTTACACCTCTAATTCAAATGTTTCTTCACAAGTCTTTGATGAATGATATTCTACCAAAGTTTATATTTGTAAAACAATATATTCAACTATTAACCTCTTACACCCTAAGGGGGTATAAATAAATTTCTGCCTGACAAAAACACACAAAAGTAAATCACTTATAGCCTCACAGCTATTAGATTTAAGAAGAAACTTTTGGTACCTCTAAAGGTAAGATGTCATAGAATGGTTTTCTGGTGTCAGCACCATTGTAGCTTTGACCCTGCCTGAAACATTAGGGACAAAATACAAAATATTTTGCATTTTTTGAACCTCGCCAAAATTTTCTTCGAAATAAACATTGTAAAACACTACCAAAATATTATTTATAGCACAAAAAATTAGTACAGACTTTTAAATCTAAACGTTGTGTAAAAATATACAAAATTTGGACTCAATCAGATGAATCATATTTATTTTAGAATGGTATTAGTGAGAAATTTCTTAGGCGGAGGGGCCATTTTGGCACATTTATCCAAAAATGTCACCAAACTGTGCCAAATGTGTTTTTTACATCAATACTGGGGGTTTGTTAAAATACGAGGTCACGTAGCAGCTGGACCCACCGGTGGGTCCGTAGGGTTCTAGGGGGTAACACCCATTCCAGGTAGGCAATACAAAGTTCTACTGGATTCACTTTGTATTAGTATTTTTCCTGCTTCACAAAGGTAGGCAGCAGCTTGACAAAGCTACGATGGCAATTATTTTGCATCCAAGTAGTATGCAGTTCTTCATATGTTTCGGTATCGGGGCCAGAAAATGGCATCAGTGCAACGCTAATTATTATATTAATAATTTTTTTTTTCTGGCCATTTTTTCACTTTTTATCGGGAAATTGCACACTAAAGGCTAATTTATACTAAGAAACCAGGTCGTATGTGCATGAGATACAGTGAATGCAAATGTGCCCCCGCCCCTTCCGCAGACACTTTGGTGCGCCTCTCCAAAATTGTAGGTGACCGCAGACAGTGCCGCAGACAGGAGGCCTCTGATTGGTCAAACCTACATCCGCTCTATACTATGCATATTTCCTGTTTGGTACCTTACTGGCTTATTTTGTTTTTATGACCGCCATTGCGGAAAACAACTTGTGAAGTTGAACCAGCTAGAAGAGCGAGGTGCACGAGAACGCTGGGACCCTTTTTCCACCTGGATCCCCGGTCTTTTTCTCCCTCATGTCCCTCCATTTTTCGCACAAACTTTCTTCCATTTCTTCACCGCCTCGGTCGTATCTAGACCCACAGCTCGTGATTGTCCCTTTTGCATTGTGGCGTGAAATAACATAGCACAGACTGCGACACGCTGCTGCGGGGAGTGTAAGCAGCCCTTTAGGCTGAGGAGCACAGCAATCCGGCAGGAGGCTCTGAGTAAGGCCGGTGTTCTTCATACCCAAATGAGTTGGCTGAGGTTGGCCTCCCTTCGAGAGTAATCCAAGCATGTCCCACAGGAGAGAGGCAAAGGGAACAGCCTTGCCACAGTTGGCATTGGAACACCTTCCGCTTCCATGGGGATTGTGATGTGGTAGATATATCTGGCCTTGTGACCAAGTCAAAGAGGATGGGGAGGAGTAAGTGTACTTAAACCTAACTGCCAATTTGATTTGGGCAGACATCACAAAAGTGTCACAACCTGCAGCTGATTCAATTTGTTCTGGTGTATATTTTGACAATTTATTTGCTGTTATGTTCCAAGGTTGTGCACTCTTGAGTTATTTTCCGCTGCTTATTATCGTTAGCTGTTGTATTTAGGTAATTCTTGTGCTCTTTGCACTTTCAGATTTTTGCTGTTTGATAGTTTCATGAGCTTCAAGTTTCTACTTATCTTCCATTACTGCTCTCTATACTCTGCCCAGCTGTTTGTTATTTATTCTTATTAAAATGATAAGTAGGAAACATATAGTCTATCCAGTTATCTCTGTCTCCCTCTGCTTTTGATTTATTTGTTTGCCTTACGGTTCCAGCTCCAGCCCTATTATGCTTAATATTTGTGTTTCCTTCACTCCTCTGTCTTCATATTCACCTGCTTCTGGGTCAAAATATGAACAAATTATGAAAAAGTAATATGAAAGCTGCAGACATGATATCAGGCATCATCAACAGCGACCTATCATTTTTTTTTCTCACTACAGATGCATAAACCAAATCTTCCCTGCCTGCTAACATCAAAATGTCCTTTAATGTAAAGCGATTCAGATGGAAAAAGATTTTTTTTTAAAACAGTTAGAAAATGATAATATTCAGGTTTTATTTTTTATCGCTATTTATTCAACCGTTCTCATGGCTTTCAGATTTAAAACTGAACAGATTTGCTTGATTAATCTTTGGGAAAACGGAAACACATCTTACTCTGAGATGGATGGATAGTAGAGCATGGCCACTCCTTCAACACACAGCAGCACAGCCAGACCCCACGTAATCATGTGGTAGAGGACAATGGTGCTGGGGGGGGAGAAGAAAGTCATGAGACTTGAACTCACAGCACATGCTGCAGAGCTTTTTTTCTTGTGGATTTTTTCTTTTTTATGTCTTACAGGAAACAAACATCCTGCTCTGACAGAAGGAATATGAACAGCTATTGTGGAAGAATCAAACTGCTCACACTAACAGTGTGTACAAGGTAACATTAATAAAAAAAAAAAAACCTGATCCCCGCAGAAGTTTTCACCACCAGGAAGACGTCCACAGCATAACAAAAAGTCCACCAAAATGAGGCACTGAAAAACAACTGGATCCACATCTGCAAAACATTAAAATGACAAATTGTCGGCAAAAATTGTGGCTTTTTAAACTTTTACATTCAAAAATCCCCTTTATTTGGTGACAACCAAGCATAGAGCAGTTCCTGCTGTCAAAGGATGCCAGTGTATTGAAATATTTTTTTCAATTCTGGTTTCAAAATCGTCAAAGCTGGCATTTCTCTCTGTGACCTCCATCCCTCCCACACATGCACACTAGTTGCTAACTGATTTTTGTATTGCTTACAAAAGAGACATATTGTTTTTTAAAATAAAGAATATCATCACTTTGAATGTAATAGTCTGCAGCAGACATGACTGAGCTAACACTGCAAGCATCATGTCTGTCATCTACTTACAACAGTAACGGTTTAAAATCAAAGCAGCATGGCAGAGCAGTTAAATGAGCTCTATTCTCTACTTTTGTGTTCTATTTTTTTGTGTAAATACACAGTGGCGTTTAAGGTCATCATACCATAAGAATCTCATGGCAGCTGGAAACAGTTCAAAGCTACAAACTGAGACAAATGATGTTGACCTCAGCTGATTCTTTAATGCTAATCAGAACATGTGACCTTCCAAGGCATTCTAATTTTACCGAAGCGTGTATGTGTTTATAAAAATAAAATACCATTAGTTATAAACTAACATGCATGTACCCAAGACGTGATGTGTGGCTAGAGTGTAACCAAATCACTAAACCACATGAAGATCTGCTGAGCAGCATCCTTATACTTACTGCGCTGCCAACACAGAAGGTCTCTGGCAACACGTCCGTGTTGTTAGTCACTGAGATGCCTTCGATGATGCTCGGCAGGCCCAGCCACACAGAAGATCTGACAATGATCCCTGCAACAGAGAGATTTGCATGATCTTGAATCATTAAGTGCAGTAAGAGAGGAGGAAACACAAAAACAGGCAGAGCATGTGGAATTTACCTGGATTTAATTAGCATGTTAACATGTGTTTACTTCTCTAAGCTGCTATGGTTTAGCACTTGCATTAATTACTGTCAGTCAGGGAGTCCTTTTAATGGCAGCTTTACATCATGGAAATATGACCTTCCAGCGGGTGGTTTTTATTGGGGTGTTTCCATTTTCTTCAAGAAAGTGGAAAAAATAAGGAGACCTGCTGGAACCTTCACGCAATGCGGTCTGCTTGGAGTTCCGCAGCGGTGAATGGATCTCACCGGGCGTGGAAACATGACTTCACCTGCTTATCTTCTCAGTGGGAACGGTGATGAATGAACAGTTCAACAGTCAGAGCTGCACTTCCTCAGCATGTTGAGCAGCAGCTTGGATTCAAAACATGTGGGTAGGAAAAGTGCCAGAGAAAGATCTTCCTGGTCTTATTAATTTAAAGTAAAAATAGCAAATATAAAATAATTGAATTTTAAATGGAAATTTATAACACTATCTGTTAAGTTGTATAAAAAAACAGCAGTTTTTCATATAGCTAAAACTGCACAATATATTAATTAGCACAATAAATATGTGTAATAAAGCGAAATTAGTGCAAAAAACAGCATCACTTTCACAGATAAAAAAAAAAGAAATAAAAATAAACCAGAGATTTAATGAGAAGGCATCATGAAAACAGTGGACTTGACTCTGTATGCTCAATTGCAACTAACAAAATGTGCTTCAAACTTGGAAATGGAATGATCATTTTGTTATTGCCTACATGCAGGCTTCAATTTGATTCCAGAATAAGACTTAATTAAAAAGAACAAAAAGGCAGAAAAGGGAAATATGATTGCTATTGGGGCTGGGAAATGAATGGCATTTGCAATAAAATCACAATTTAGAAAAATGCAATTTTCAAATCGCGGAGGCCCTCAATTTTAGTCACAATACATTTTAGAGGAGTAAGACATTAAATTTTTCCCTTTGGTGGTGGTGATACGATTAAAGTGGATATGCTGTCACACAGAAGGGAACAGAGAGTTGCAGCTAGCACCTACATCTAAGCATTATAGTAGAAATAAAACCTTTTTTATACAAATGTTACATCAAAGTCCTGTGGCACTGGATTCTGGACAAGCAGGATTTCAAGGTCATGGAAACCCTGGAGTCAAACATCGACATGGTTATGCTTAGTGCAGAGGAAAAACGCAAAAAATAAAATAAAATCGCAATTCTGATTTTTGGTGAAATCCTTCAGCTCTAATTGCTATACAAAAATCTCATGAATGTTGCACTAAACCATTAGACTGAGAATTATTCTTTTTTTTCTGAATGTGTGTTTTTGAAAAAAAAAAAAAAGGAGTATTTTCAGTTTTAAAAACAGTTATTTATGTCTTATACAAAACTACCACGGTGCATGTTTGTGCAGGTAATAAATATAGAAACAGGCTTAATTTGTAGGTTTCATTAATGATTACTAAGCAAAATATATATAAGAGCTTTTTATTCTAAATCAATAAGATCATATCCAGGTGTATGGAGAATAAACTTATAATGTGTGGCCCACTCCTGACTTAATGCTGCACACTTCCAGTCTGCTGGCTGAAAAAACTCTACACTTTCAAAATTGTCTTGCACTGAAATATATCTGGTCATGGAAACAAGGGCAGTAATGAAATAGAAGCTGAAGTAGTACCACTATCACTCATTCTAAGGTAAAGCTGTGGCAGGCTAGTTAGCTAAGCAGAGCTAATTAACTTGTTATACTTTTATTCCTCTACAAAGAGCGCAATGGGATCCCATCTTTAATATTTGAGACAACTAATACTTTTCTATTTTTTGGTTATGTCTTTATAACAAAACAACACATTGAATTTATTGAATTTCCCATTTGGGATTTATAAAGTATTTTTAAATGTTTTGAAATCAATTGAAATACTCCTTATGTAATAATATGATTATTTCTTATTTAAAAATTGTTACAAGCATCTATAAAATGAAAAGAAACTACTTTACAATAGGCTATATTGGCTGTAAATAAAACAAACACATTTTAGGATTCAGAAAAAGATTTGTTGAACTGATTGTAATGCATAAACTTGCAAATCCTGCATTGCAAAAAGGCGTCTTCCATGATCATCAAGTGTCATATACAGCTTATTTACTCATTCCTTAGATTGCCCTCTTTATCATCCATTTAATGGAATCACCTATCTATTTTATCAACACTTCAAATGGGATTTTAGATAAACAGCTTTGTGTTAAGCAGCACAGTTTTATCATTTTGTTTTTATTTGATTTAATAACCGGTTTCTGCTGAGTTTGCAATTCGCATCTCCTCTGCTTCTCTGCAGGAGCTCTCTGTAAATCTGACCTAATGGAAATCTAACAATGTTTATATATATATGACGGAAATAGGAAAGCCTCGTTTTACTGCTTTTCCTGCTTTCCACAACAGGTACCAATAACGCCCAACGAGCAGCAGGTGGGTTTGGCTGCCTGTTAAAGAAATTATTAACAGACGTATATAAACTGCTATAAATACATGAAACGTACAGCTTCACAGTGTTTTACGAACAAATGGATGGAGATTTCATTTTTCATTACCAAAATATTTTTGTATAGGGATCAGAGATTCAGTTTCAGAGCTAGAGTGTTTTATGTATAGAAAAGTAAAAAAAAAAAAAAAAAAAAATGTTATAGTCAATCAGTTTCAAATTTACTCTAAGAATTATGAAAAATAAGATAAAACTTAAGACATGTAAAAGAATTTGATACAGACAGACAGACAGACAGACAGACAGACAGACAGACAGATAGACAGATAGATAGATAGATAGATAGATAGATAGATAGATAGATAGATAGATAGATAGATAGATAGATAGATAGATAGATAGATAGATAGATAGATAGATAGATAGATAGATAGATAGATAGGTCGGTCATGCACTTTTGAGATGTACCGACAGAACCGCACCACATACATTTAACAACTAAGAATTTTTTATGTAGGCCTATATACTGCATCTTTTCTTTCTTTCTTTCTTTCTTTCTTTCTTTCTTTCTTTCTTTCTTTCTTTCTTTCTTTCTTTCTTTCTTTCTTTCTTTCTTTCTTTCTTTCTTTCTTTCTTCCTTTCTTGCTTTCTTTCTTTCTTTCTTTCTTTCTAAATTAAATTTCCCCTTTTCTTAATATTACATTCCCCACAGCATGGAACAATCTTCAGAAACACTGGAAGTTGAAGGATGTGATTCCAATCGGACATTTTAAACGATTGCTCAAATGAGATCTGTGGTTTATAACTGTTTTATGAATTCCAATTATAGATAGATGTAATTGTAAACTGTAATGTAATTTGTAATGTAATCTTTTGCTGCTGTCTTGGCCAGGATTCCCTTGAAAAAGAGATTGTTAATCTCAATGGGACTTTTCCTGGTTAAATAAAGGAATAGAAATAAAACAAATAAAAATAAAAAAAGCAAATATCTCACTAGCCTATATGCAAATGAATAAAGAAATAAATATGTATATTTTTTTTATTGATTGATATATATTTTATTACATGACAATACGAGAAACTGAAGCTTTTAAAATATTCTCTTTTCGCGGAGCAAAAAAGGGTTAAAATAAACTATTCCTGTGCGTAATTAAAACCATAGCCAAGCAGAGAGAGAATAAAAAAAACACAGCTGAAAAAAACTAGGTCATCTGCCTCTTGTTTGTTTGTTTCGTTTTTACCTGTGCATCCCAGTATGTCACAGACACTGATGATGAGCAATATTCTGGAGGAGGAGGCGGGCCTGGGCAGAGGATACTGTCCCAGTCTCCTGTATCCTTTACGCTTTGGCAGCACCTGGAGAACAGCGAATATGAGGCTGAGTCCAGCGCTGGCCAGAGTCAGAGCCCCGAACAGGAGCGGCTGGAGGGAGACGGCCAGCTCCGTGGCAGCGTCCCGGTTCGGGCAGCAGAAGGTCTCCAGCCGCGGGGAGGCCATCAGGGCGATTCACAGGAGAAGGAAGAAGAAAGGGAAAGAGAAAGAAAGAAGGAAATGACTGAGTCCATGAGGCGGCTCTCCCTTACAAATCACGGGGTTGAATCATCATGTGCTTCTGTTTAATCCCCAAAGTTGTTTCATTCTGCAGCACAATGTGAGGCACCGACAGAGGGCTGGATTCTGAAAGAAAGAATAAAAAAAAAAATCAACTTGCAGAAGCAAAACTAAAGTTTTCATTTCATCCTCTGTGTGAGGATTCAGAATGTCATTCAGACTATGGGCAATAATCCGAAGGCAGAATAATCAGCTATTATATCTACCTCATATGTAAAAATAACATATATACAATGGCAAACAACATTTCTTTTTATTTAACTCCTCTGACCACCATTTCTGTCCCTCATGAAGAGAGCAACCCCCATTATGATGCTGCCACCACCATGCTTCACCAGCCATATGCAATAGTTTCCAATCACATACGATTTGAAAGTATATGAAAACTTAACTTAAAAGCATTTAGTTTCACGTCTTTCACGTCCAGATTTTATTTAGCTTTTTTCTCCATCCCTGTTTTTATGCTGTAGTATGAGTAGTTTGTGCCATACTTGTTCCATCTATTGGTGATGACTTGAACATTTCTTCTTGTGTTGTTTGTTTTTCCTAACGACCCTCAGAGAATAAATTATCTGCTCCAATTTTGTCCCCCCTTTTTTTATCCAGTCATCCTCCTTTTCCACTCCCAGACATTTTCATTCTCTTTCAATATCCCGCTCTTTATTTAGCTGGTGTTTTGAAAGAGGTTTAGTAGTAAAACTGTAAAACATCTGTTTCAAGCAGAAGCAATTATTTCAAAAAATCGAAAAAGTATGCGTTGAACATTTATGCTTAAAACCATAAGAAACAACTGGGTAAACACATGATCAGAGGGATGCACCATAGGCCAGGAGGTGCATGCAGGATGCATGCAGGGGATCTGCGGTCATGTGCATATGTCATATGCATAAAGAACAATCTGCTAGTATGCTGCACATGTGCACATGCAGGTCTGTAGCCTGACATAATTCCAGCTGCTAAACTGAATATGTATTAGTCATTCTGCAATATTTCTATGGACTTTCTAAAGTTTTTTTTTTTTTCCAAATGTCCTTTTTGATTTTGCATGAACTTGGACAAGTTGAGAACAAATAATTGTTTAAAATATTAATACGTAGCTATAGCAGATAAATGGCAAGGCATAGAAAAAAAAACATCCAGTCCTATACACAGGACTACTGGAGAACTACTGTTTGTCTCTATATTCTTGCAAAGTGTTAGATGTGCTATATTTTGGAGATTGTGTGCTTCAAAGTGTTTCATCAATAACTTCATTTATGGTTGTAAGTAAAATACAGTCAAAGCAGTCATTCATGTTGTATGTAATACTCACAAAGTCCACAAGAAGTAAAGAAGTTATGACTCCTTCCTATTGTTTGATTAATAATAAGAGTCTGAACAACAGCTGCACCCTCCCTGCAAAGGTCAGATCAGCCCTGCATGTATGCATCAGACATCACCACCCTCGCCTGATCCAGAAGTAAGCCGTTAGATCCGCTTGCTTGGCAGGAGATCTGAAACCAAGCTTTAAAGATGTAATAAAGAGAGCATTTATACACTTACAATCATATTCTAATCCAATTTCTCCCCTGACACAGCAGAAAGATAATTGTGTGGCTGGCTTGCAGATCTGAAGATCTGCTCTCTCTGGCTGCCCTCTGCTGGCCTGCATACACTGAAATAAGATCTGATGAAACCCAGGGTTCAGAACACTGGGGAACGACTGTGACAATATTTCATTCACTATAACAGATAAAAGAGTCTGCAGTCTGCTTAAACCAAGGCATTTCTTTAATTTACAGCATAGAAAAAAATTAATATAGATAGATAGATAGATAGATAGATAGATAGATAGATAGATAGATAGATAGATAGATAGATAGATAGATAGATACACTATATTGCCAAAAGTATTTGCTCACCCATCCAAATTATTGGAATCAGGTGTTCCAATCACTTCCATGGCCACAGGTGTATAAATTCAAGCACCTAGGCATGCAGACTGTTTTTACAAACATTTGTGAAAGAATGGGTCGCTCTCAGGAGCTCAGTGAATTCCAGCGTGGAACTGTGATAGGATGCCACCTGTGCAACAAATCCAGTCGTGAAATTTCCTCGCTCCTAAATATTCCACAGTCAACTGTCAGCTGTATTATAAGAAAATGGAAGTGTTTGGGAACGACAGCAACTCAGCCACGAAGTGGTAGGCCACGTAAACTGACGGAGCGGGGTCAGCGGATGCTGACGCGCATAGTGCGAAGAGGTCGCCAACTTTCTGCAGAGTCAATCACTACAGACCTCCAAACTTCATGTGGCCTTCAGATTAGCTCAAGAACAGTGCGCAGAGAGCTTCATGGAATGGGTTTCCATGGTCGAGCAGCTGCATCCAAGCCATACATCACCAAGTGCAATGCAAAGCGTCGGATGCGGTGGTGTAAAGCACGCCGCCACTGGACTCTAGAGCAGTGGAGACGCGTTCTCTGGAGTGACGAATCGCGCTTCTCCATCTGGCAATCTGATGGACGGGTCTGGGTTTGGCGGTTGCCAGGAGAACGGTACTTGTCTGACTGCATTGTGCCAAGTGTAAAGTTTGGTGGAGGGGGGATTATGGTGTGGGGTTGTTTTTCAGGAGCTGGGCTTGGCCCCTTAGTTCCAGTGAAAGGAACTCTGAATGCTTCAGCATACCAAGACATTTTGGACAATTCCATGCTCCCAACTTTGTGGGAACAGTTTGGAGCTGGCCCCTTCCTCTTCCAACATGACTGTGCACCAGTGCACAAAGCAAGGTCCATAAAGACATGGATGACAGAGTCTGGTGTGGATGAACTTGACTGGCCTGCACAGAGTCCTGACCTCAACCCGATAGAACACCTTTGGGATGAATTAGAGCGGAGACTGAGAGCCAGGCCTTCTCGTCCAACATCAGTGTGCGACCTCACAAATGCGCTTCTGGAAGAATGGTCAAAAATTCCCATAAACACACTCCTAAACCTTGTGGACATTCTTCCCAGAAGAGTTGAAGCTGTTCTAGCTGCAAAGGGTGGACCGACGTCATATTGAACCCTATGGATTAGGAACGGGATGTCACTTAAGCTCAAATGTGAGTCAAGGCAGGTGAGCAAATACTTTTGGCAATATAGTGTAGATAGAAAGAAAATATTACTGTGAATATTTAGAATTAAAAGAAAATCCCCCAAAATAAAAAATAAAACATGAAGTCAGCTTCCATCGGAATCGTTGGAAGCTGACTAAACAGAGAAACCTTTTTTGTCTAAGAGGTAAACATTTTTGCTGTGCCACATTATTAAAATATGATTTCCATTTTATTGGTAAATATTGCAATGATAATGTTAGGATAAAAGTAACAGTGCAGACCCACCACACAGAAATAAGTACCCAGATGTTCACCTGAACTTTAAACTGGAATGTTTTTTTTATCGATTTGTGTTTATTATTAGTGTTTATTGATTTGTTGTTGTATTGTTTATTGGCTACTCTAATCATATTGGTTAGAGTGCCTGCAGTAAGTCCTTCCAACAGAGCAGAACTATTGCACTCAAATATAGTTTAGATGTTTTATGCAGCTATTAATGGGCTTTTAGCACATTACAGTGTCATGTTGGTCATATTTTACTAGTTTTTTTTAATCATAAGTAATCCTATATTCTTTTTTTCTAAACTTTTTTATGTTATTGTGGAGAATTCATTGCTTGGTATAATGTTTCATCCAATGAACTGGATGTACTTCCCTCTTCACACTTGTTAGATTTTGTTATCTTGTAATGGACTGTTTTTTTCTGTGGGGGAGAGTGGGGTAAAGTGAGACGTTTTTTACATTTGCTCCCCTCCAAGTGAGCTAAAATGATATATCAGTTAAATTTACACATTTCCCATTAATTCAGGATGTTTCCTTGTTATTGTAATTATCAGAATGTATTCAGGATGAAGGGCAGTGAAAATATGATGTTTTTTAAAAAAGTGGTCTTGTGGGTAAAGTGAGACAGACCAGAGAATTCAACAGGGTAAAGTGAACCAACTAGGTGTAAACTGATCCACTTATTTTTTTCCACTCTGAAACTACCATAACAACTTATGTTGTATAGTGTTAGAATCCTGACAGCTGGCCTGACAACCTCACATCCCAGAACAAATGCCAGACTAGTAAAATAACCATTGGAATTGGTCTATTAAGCAAATTTTTTCCTACAACACTTGAAAGTAATTCTAAACAAAATCAAATACAACATAATGTAATTCAAAATATTTATTAACATTCAAATGAGAGGTATGAATCACCTTGCTGCAACTCAACTCCTACACTACAAAATATCCCTTTTTTTATATGTATATTAAAGTCTTAATATAAAAACACAGTCTCGAGGTCAGAACACAGGACCTTTAGAGCCAGCTAGAACAGCATGGGACTCAACAGGACTAAATCCACAATCAGAGCATCAGTTATTCTCTACAAATACAGTAGGCCTCTACAACTACTCCACATTCCAGCCCTGAAGATTGCAGGGAAAGATAAAGAGTTGTTCTCTATGTGTGGTCCCTCCACGCCTCTTAGGTTGAGGCAGCTTCTTCACCACATCTGCTCTGAGAACATGTGCCACATCTTTTTCTTTAATAGAAAATGTGGGTCTCTCCCACACTTTTGTGTTTCCCTGAATTTTTCTAAGGAATTGGATAAGAATTTAATCATCTTCAACTTTTCAACCATGCCAATATACCGGAGGTTCCTGTGTTTGGTTGTAAAGGTAATCATGACAGGTTCTCAGAGAGAAGCCCAAATATGCAGAACACAACGGAGGCTGATGAAAAGTTTAACAAGGTTTATTGAAGAACAACAGATATGAATATTGCGACTGGAAATGGTTCTGGTCAGGAGACAGGTTCACTGGAGTCTGCAGGGAAGACAGTTTAGTTAGCTCTGGGTCAGATGGGATGAGAGACTTTGAGTTTGCAGAAGTATACCTTGAAGGAGTCCGGTTATCTCTTTGAGAGAGATTACTGTGGGATCCAGAGACTGATTGTTCAGCAGAGTCCAA